AGGTATGGAAATATTTATGCAAACCTAAGGGGAAAAGTGCTGCAATTTCCCCCGTTGTACTTGTCCACGTGGGTGTGTGTGCAGCCATTTGTGTAAACTGTGAGAGCAGATAGATGGGAGAGCCCACGCGCTGGGGCTCAGGACAAATTGGCTGCCTTTCATCTCTGCATCTCTTTAATTACAACGGACTGAAGCGCCGGGGCCGCCTACCTACAGGCCTAATGCTGCAGGAGGAGATATCAACAGAGCAGTTTATCATAGAGTGCCGACAAAAGTGGGACAGCTAAAATGTAGTCCCTCTCCATGATTCCGGCTCTCTGAATAGATACGTAGCCCACATTGTCAAGAGCACTTCTGTTAGGGTGTCAGTGGGGCTTTCTGGGATAGAAAAGAGGTTATTAAGTTGTTCTGTGGAACTACATCAATATACTACAATTGGCTTTACAAATTACATCCAGTACAGAGTGGTCGAAAACGAAGACGGATATTTCTGTCTTCCATTGTTTTGACTCTACTCCAGCAGGTTGTACTTGAAGTGATACACGATCATTTGAAATGTTGCCTTTCACTAGAACTAATACTTCTGTGTTTGAGGGTGTTCAAGCATGCTGAGTTCTCGGTAATGGCACTCATAGTTCTTTTGTTCTCCAAGTCTACAACAATGAAGAAGGAGCATAATAGAAAATCCATGAAAAGGTAACAAAAGGTGCTCAAAAAGTGGCGCATTACTTAAAGAGCCCATATTCTGCTCTTTTTGGGGTTCGTATATTTAATCTATGTACCTACTTTTGTACGTTCACAATAGCTAAAGTACGAAAGAAGTGTCTGTTTTCATGTTCTGCTCCTCCTTGCTCCCTCTACGCTCTGAGTCCGTCAGCTACACTCTGTTGAGCCCACACTGTTAGACCCCACGTGGGCCAAGTCTGCTCTGATTGGTCTGCCGATCCGCTCTGTCGTTATTGGTCAGTTGCTCAGCACGCTTCTTGGAAATTTCAACATGAGTTGCAGGGCTTGCCACAACGAGCCAATGGGCTTAGATCAGTGATCTCACACTGACAATGACGTCGGACTGACAAATCTTTATCGAGGGGGGGTAGAACCGAGCGTTACATACAGCTAATGCTACAGCTAACAGGAGGACGTAGGAGAAGCCACGTTTCCGCAGACTTTGAATTTTTGCAAATAGATGTGCCTAAACATGCACAGGACACTTGGAAAACACACTAAAGAGCATATAAAACCAGAAAAAGCATAATATGGGACCTTTAAATAGCTGCCTGCATTGTGTAACTACAAAAACAAATAAAGTGACAGGATAAACATAAACATAAACATAAGGCCCAGTGTCCACTTAGAGTTTCTTTCTGAGCGCCAGCGTCTTTTTTCAATTGTTTCAATGAGGAGAGAGCGTTCGCAGCAGAGAGTGGCTGCCTGGAGAAAAAAACGCAGCGCCCAGCATCTTTTTTCCTAGCGCTCCACATTTTTTGAGTGGCTGCTCCGAGCACTCAAGTTGAAAATCTTTAAACTTTTCAGAAAGGCGCCGTTGACATCAGCGACACTCTTTTCCACATGTATGAAATTCCCTGTAGCTTTGCTGTCTACGGGTCGTCTTTTAGCCACATCCTCTTTGCTCCGTGTCGGATCAGGGAATAAACGATGTAAAATATAAAACATGCAGTAAAAATGAATGGAGCAGTGTCTGTCATACATTGCCCATTGTGAACACACTGATGGGCAATGTATAGGACAGATGTGCAGCGCTTTTATTCTCAGCGCACAGAATAATGCTTCATGCAAACACTGCCGAGCGCACAGTCAGCGCTTTACTGCCCGGAAATAACACTAGGTGGAAACGGGGCCTAAATCATTAAGTCATACTGGATCAATATCTGAGTGTGCAATATTTACAACACCAAAGAAAAACAATAATTAAAAAGTGATACAAAAAAAAAGATTTTTGTGAATGTTTTTCTTTAACTTAAGAGAAAAAACCCCACAGTAATCAGAAGTGTACTGATTTGTTTAATAAATCAATCAATCAACTATACTGGATTTTTTTTTTGTTATAGAGAATCTTCAAGAGCCCATATTCTGCCCTTTTTGGGGTTCATATACCGTATTTTCCGCACTATAAGGCGCACTTAAAAGCCTTTAATTTTCTCAAAAAACGACAGTGCGCCTTATAATCCGGTGCGCCTTATATATGGATCAATTGGTTAATTGGTTGATCCATACTGGTTGTACACGGTGCTCAGCGACACTGACTCGGATAATGACGAGAGGGAGCCGGGCATGTTGGATGCCGTACTCGCCCAACTGTTCAATTCGGACACTGAAGAAGAAGAATTCGAGGGATTCGTGGACGGGGAATGAACTGAAAAAGTGAGCTTTACGTGTTATACGTAACTGAACAATGTTGACTTATGCACTAACGTTTGAATTAGCGGTATCAGACTGTGTTTCTTTTACGTGTTTACAACTGAACAAGGCTGGGAGATATTGTGAATATGCACATTAACGTTTGAACAACGTTGAGTTATTGTGAATGCACTAAGTGCTAAGTACGTAAGTTGAACAATTTCGAGAGTTACTATATTGTGAATGCACTAACGTTTGATTTAGTGGTATCAGACTGTTTCTTTTACTACGTGTTTACTGAATCAGGGAAAAGTTCCCCTCCACGTTTGGGAGAAGAGTGAACAAGGCTGGGAGATATTGTGAATATGCACATTAACGTTTGAACATCGTTACCATGGGAGTGAACGGAGTTGTCAGAACGCTTAATAAAGTTTGACTTTATCTGACTGTTTTGTTGACATTCCCTTTAGCACAGCTCCATCTAGTGGATGCATAACGCAACCCCAGTCAAACGTTTGACTGCAGTATCTTCTATTCTATGCGCCTTATAATCCGGTGCGCCCTATATATGAAAACAGTTCTAAAATAGGCCATTCATTGAAGGTGTGCCTTATAATCCGGTGCGCCTTATAGTGCGGATGTACCTACTTTTGTACGTTCACAATAGCTAAAGTTTGAAAAAAAGTGTCTGTTTTCATGTACTGCTCCTCCTTGCTCCCTCTACGCTCTGAGTCCGTCAGCTACGCTCTGCTGAGCCCACACTGTTAGACCCCACGTGGGCCAAGTCTGCTCTGATTGGTCAGTTGCTCAGCAAGCGTCTCGGAAATTTCAACATGAGCTGCAGGGCTTGCCACAACGAGCCAATGGACTTAGATCAGTGATCTCACACTGACAATGACCCCGGACTCACAAATCTTTATCGAAAGGGGGTAGAACTGAGCGTTACATGCAGCTAATGCTACAGCTAACAGGAGGACGTAGGAGAAGCCACGTTTCCGCAGACTTTGAATTTTTGCACATAGATGTGCCTAAACATGCACAGGACACTTGGAAAACACACTAAAGGGCATATAAAACCAGAAAAAGCATAATATGGGACCTTTAAGGACAAATTCAAGTGTAGTTCAAAGTGCTTCATAAGCAAGGAACTAATACACTGAAGTTAGAATGTTCAAAAGGATTAAGAGACTAACTCACACCAATATGAAGTCAATCAAATTAACAATTAAATACAAGATGGACGATAAAAAATAATTAGAAACAAGAAATGAAAGATAAAGCAATACAAATTAATCATCATGTGTCCAAAATGTCCTACAGAAATTAAACAAAGTCTGAGCTCATTTGCGACTCATTTCTGTTCACGGTTGGTTTGAAGGTTCTTCTATAGTTCATTTAGACTCTAAGGACTCCGCAGCAGTAATGAATTGAACGCGAGGCCTGCACAAACACAGGAGATGAAAGAGGGAGGAAGCTGAACTTAAGCATCCAAATATAAAATAATGAAACAGCTTTCTAGTTTCATGTCAAGTGGAAGAACACAGCAGGTAGTGGAACGGAAGGGAGGCAAGAAATCAATGCTTAACACTACTATAAACAGAAAAGGAAATGATTATACTACCAATGACATGTAGATTCTGCTCTGCATGTGCTCAGAGTGTTTAGCATCACTACAGAGAGATATCTCAGGAACAAGAAGAAAAGCAATGCAGGGGAGAGAAAGGAAACAGAGATTTCTTCTCTATGCTTCAGCAGTGCAACCTGAGGCAACAATTAGCTCCTGCTCTTACTACAATCAGCAGCACCCACTAAGGAACAAGTTCCATGTTGCACATTATTTGTTTGCGCCTCCAGTGTGTGCAAATCTGTGTGTTTCTCCTGAGCCGAGTCAGCTGTTTCTACGCCACAGACTTTTCCACACATAGAATCGGCTAAAACATTGAGATGAGCACATTAAAATTAATTAGGAGGCCTCATGGGGAAGCTCATCCAGCTGAGGCTGAGCTGAGAGCACTGCGATGTGTCAGAGGCTAATATTTTTGTTTTCAGGCGGTGGGTGGGGGTGGGGGGGGGGGTGAGGTGCCACTGAAAATCACCAGGCTACAGTAAGAGTGGGAGCCTTATCCAAATATTTATGCACATTCCACACTCTGGCTCCATATACAGTATCGATAAAAGTTGTAAATCGCAAAAAGAGAGTGAGTGGGGAGGTCAGTTAGAGACGAGGGCGATAAACGTGATGACAGGAGGAGATTTAAGACGTGGTGGGAGCAGTGAAAGCAGAGGAAAAAAGAAGATATTTAAAAAAAAAATATGAAAATCATTTGGGGGAGCATTAAGTGTGAGTGAATGTGAGTGTGTTTGTGTTTGTGGTGTGGGTGTCTCTGTGTTTAAATGTTTGGTATTATGTTTTGGATTTACCTTTTATTTAGATTTTGTATTATGATGATTAATTCATGTTTTGTAAGGACCCCCTTGAAAAGGAGATGACGCATCTTAAGGGGCTATCCTTGAAATAAATTACATATTTAACATTTAATCTCAAGCTGAAAAAAAGACTGAAAGTCAGAAGGGCAGAAAAGGACAATCAAAAATGGAGAAGCAAAAAAAAAAGGAGCCACAGGGCACAAATTTGACTTTACCTTCAGTAGGGTTGATAGCTGTGGGTAAACTCTCCCATGGAAGGGTCCAGGCAGGGCAAGGATGAGGAGCGAACACTGCCTCGATGCCATTTTCCTGGGGGGGGGGGGGGGGGGTTGGAACACACAAACACACATATAGTTACACACGTTACCATAGAAACCCCTCTTCAGCCTTGAGGTGGTTGTAATGGAGTGATTCAAAGAGAACTGTTCTTGAACAAGCCCTGTGTCCCCTTACTCACACTGATCTAAAGCTACGCCTGAGGAGAAACACTGCTGGTGCACTTATTACTCCCTAAAGACAAAACAAATGTGCCACCAGCACAGCGCACATACCCCCGCACAGCTTGATACTCAAGTGTACAAGGTAAGGCACTTCCTTTTCCCTTTGTTTCTTTGATGAGAAGTTAGTTAGAATCAGAAGTATGAGCTTATATAGAGCCTGTAAAAGGCTTGTGGAGTGAGTATTCCCATTCATCTCTCATGTGAAAAGTTTTCCTAACAGCTCAACGTTTGCCTTCACATGATTGACCTCAGCTTATCTGATTAAAGGTACTACATGGCTAATAATAATAATAAAATCTGAAACTTCCAAGCTGTGGTGCAGACAAGATGTCATTCACATGTTACTTACTGTATCGCAGTATTAGGCAATTATACGCTTTTTGGGTATGGAAAAAAAAAAAAAAAGGGTATGTGTCCAAAAACACGTGCTGAGTAGGAGTTACATGACAGGCGAAATCGTTTACATGTCTGGTTCACCCCAAACAAAGATAAAACCTTACAGTAATCTCACAAAACCATGTATTCCATAAGTTTGTAATCATGTCAGTGCAATTTAGACAAGTCCAATGGATTCATAGACCCAGAAAACATGGGGTTAGACACCAAGATTACTTGTGCTACTCAAATAATGAAGGAGTTAGGATATTTTAAGGGCTTCCTGCCCATCTTGGACACCATCTTGAAAATTACACCTTTCTAGTGGTCAAATTTTGGTCAACTTTTAGTATGTTATTAAGGACACTTAATACTACAAAAAACAGCTGAGAAACCTTTTGTTAGAATTTTTTTAGGGTTAGGTGTTTTTTTTTTCCATATATGCAACCGCCTATACATCAGTTACTCTCCAGTTAAGTGACCATCTTGTCTTTGTTATACATCTTTTTATTTACCTATCTATCTCTCAGGTTGAACATAGATCTAAGAAAGATATCAGCAAATATATTGGCATCAGATTTTTTTCTCTCCACAATATCGACATCAGTCAGGAAATATCAATAGACATGTCTGAAAAAGTTATTCAAGTAAATAGAAAAGCATCCCAAATTGTAGCTTCAAAATGGAATTCAAATGAAATGTAAGATTAACGAGGTAGTATATTATGTATAACAGTGCTCCACTTCATTTCATGGGACAAGTTGCGAAAATCCAAATCTTTTACACGTCATTCGTGAGACTTTTACAGACTGAAGTGTTGTTGATGCCGCCACCTGCTTTTAAAGACCTGTCAATCAATGTGTGAGCAAAAGGGAACCAAGGTTTAGCCCTGCATATTGGTCTATACCCTTTTGTTTACATCTGCATCACGGCCTGTGCCTCTACAGCTCATTGCACACTAATGCATGGGCAGTTTGACTGGACTGCATCAGTGTGTGTTAACTGGGGTGAGAAAAAAAGGGAGAGTTTATGAGCCATTTGTGCTGTGGATAGTGTAGCAAGATGAGCCTGGTGTCTCTGGTTAGCAGCGGTGAAGGATCGCGTGTCACCACATCAGACGGCAGACCTCCATCTCCATGCACTTGCCAAGGGACACACACAGTCATATATATATGAGGAAATATGCACACACACACACACACACACACACACAAACACACACAGGCAAAAGCACATTGGCCAAGACAACACAACAGCTGCAGTGCAGACATGATGGTGGCGACACGCAGCCATCCTTGTAATCCCTCCAGGCACAGAGAGAATGGTGGCCATTGTGTTTGTGTGTGTGTGCATGTATACGTCTGCTGCACACATTCCTCTCAGTTTTAATGTCTGATTTCCACCTGCCCTGAAAACTGTCATTTGAGCACATCTGTGGCCAAACGAATTTCATCTGTCAACATGGCATGTTGGAGACACGTCCCACCCTGACCACCCAGCTCACTCCGCCTCACCAAAGCCCCCTTATCTCAGCCTCCTCTTCTCCCATCACTTTAAAAATCACATTGTTACAGAAACTTTAGCCAGCAGGAAATCGCTGAGAGTGAACAGTCTGAAGGCTCATTATGAGAGGTTAGTGAGGGGTGAGACTCCTTCTAAACAGCTGCTGGAAGAGCCGGTCCAAAACATTACGCAGGGTTAATGTTTCAAACGCCATAAAGCTAAGAAAGGTATAAATGTATGGGACTTTCTGCGAGGGTGGGGTGTGTCTTGCCAATTCTTCCTGAGGGAACTGCATTTCGACAGCGTGGACATATTATGCTGGTTTTGTGTGCCGTCTTGCCTCTGTACACTTTGATGTTCAGCTATTACTATAAACTACTTATAAAACTAGCTATAAAACTTAGTTATGGTTTGGACTGGATACATCGTTATATTTTTTTTATTGCACCTGAACTGGGGCTAAGCTGAATGTGCACTGTCTGCACTTTCTAAGTGGCAACAGGATCCTCTGAGAATATGAATTTTGCATTTTAGAACACTCCGAGGGCAGTGAAATACTATAACTACAAACAGATTCCGTTATTCCTTGAAGAACAGGATGCTAGTTTGTCTGGTTTGATAAATAGATTTTCATACAAAACAACCTCTGCGAGAAGAAAATCTTGTAAACAGACAAGCATCCTACAACTTTTCCCACTTAAAATGTTAATTCTGTGACTGGAAGCATTTAACATTCAAGCACTTGCAGAACGAGGAAGAAAAAAATGCAACAATTAGGAGTGTCTGCCAGGAGCCAAAACATTAACTTAGAGCCACATTCTTAAAGGCACAATCAGCAGAAAATGGCTGCTTGAAATTACAGGGATAACAGATAACAACCAGTTGGAGGCTGACAAACATGCTATCTTTCCTCTGAAGGGACACCGGGAGACAGCTCCCGGTATTTAAAGTGTTTGTTAAAGCAAACACATTTGGAAAACGCAGAGAAGTAATGTGTGATGGGAAACAAGTGAGGAGATGTTTACTTTGAGTTTAGTCAATGTAGGCCTTGGACCGCCGACAAAGGGAAGCTGTGAGGTCATCGCCAGGCTTTCTTCTTGCTCCAGTGGATGAGCTGGGTCGTCCTCTGCTGACAGCACTGGGATGCTGGATGGGGGCACTTGGGGGATGGTCAGAGTCACACCACATGCCTTGGCTGCCCGGAGGACCCCAGGAACCTCCTGGACACGGCTGTACCAGCGCAGCAGGTGTGGAAGCTGATGCAGAGTGTTTGCAGCATGGGTATGGAGGGAACTCTATAAAGGACAATAAAAAAATAAATAAAAGAGAAAGTTTAAAAAAGAAAACATGAGATATTGATTAAGGGTCTCATCTGGCCTGCCATCTCCAGTGGAGCGAGATGTCAGGCCATGTCAGGTTCCAGCAGAATTCACCCCTCACACTGGTGGACACGGACACACTGACACGAGGGGGGGCCTGACAGGAAAAAACATCAGAGCAGCGTAGACAGGTAGGGAGGGTTAACGACACAAACAAAGATGTGATCAGAGGAGCGGCGCCACTGTGGTGCGACTGTGTGTGGAGGACAGAAGAAAGAGCTGTGGGGGACAGAGACACAGAGGGAGAAGGGGGCACTCTGCAGCATGACGAGTGGGCGCAGTGGAAAGGATCGGCCGTAGCTTGCATGTGTCGCGGACAGTGATGGCCGTTGAGAGGAGACACGCTAGGCTGAGTGTGAAACTGGAAACCGCTGGAGCACAGCTGACTACTAAAAGCCTCATTGTGAGAACCACAAGTTCATTCCCACAGTCGAGGAACAGTTGGTGACGGCTGGAGGGTGAAATGGAGGTGGGGAATACACCACTGCCTGTCTGTGTAGCGTTCCTGATCAATAACTATGTACCACTCGACTAAACAGACATAGCACACTGAAGTCTCCTCTGCAGGTACTTGCTTTAACTGCTGCTTCAAACTTTACTTCTAAATTATGCAATTATTAAATGTTATGAATATTCAGGACAAACGCTTTTGAAGTCGTGCAGACTTTTTTTTTTCTTTTAAGTTTGGAGTTTTGAGGTCAACATAAGAAGCCAACCAATTCTTAATCTCTTGCAAGGAGAAAAACGTTCCCAAAAAAAAAAAAAAAAGAAAGTCATTGAAATGCATTTCAACCTGCTGCATTTGAATAGAAACCCTCCCTTACACTGTTATCACTCTTTTCCAGGTGCCTCTAGACCACCTTTGAGAAAATCTGAGCCAAGTGTGCTGCAGACAAGTCCCCTTAACTCGAGTTTCTGTCTGGGTGTGCTGCCTGCTCACCCTGCCCGGGGCTGTCAAAATCACATGTCATTGCACAATATGAAAAGTTATCTTAATAAAGACACTAAAAAAAAAAACCAAATCAGCCACGAGGCAGCGTCTGCAGCCTGAATGGCATCTTCTATCCAGTACGAGGTGATGTCAGACCTCTTTCATGTGTGCTTCTGTTTATGTTGAAAGACAAAGCCTTTTATGGCTTCACTTCATCGCTCACAGCACCCTAATGGGAATTTAGCTTCCAGTAAATTTGTGAAGGTCACAGTTTGTCAACGCATTGAAAGCTTGAAGCGTCTACAGGAAATATAAGGGACGTTTTGAAACTTAAATGAGCATTTGACAAGTATTTATGCATTTAAATGAGGTGAATCAATAAGATTAAGGTCTTTTGCCACAATGGTTCACACTCAGACATAAATCATTAACGCCAAGGCCCTTACCAAGTAGTGATAGATGCATGGCAGCAGCACCACATCAGTTAGAGTGAAGTAAAGTCCTTCAGCAAACACATGCTCCAGCGGGGGCAGGTCTGTTGTCTTCACTTTCCTGATCTCAGAGTTCTCTCTGGTGGTCGAAGTGGGAACTGAATCCACAGACAGTTTAGCCAGAGCCGCCCTGAGCTCAAGTCCATCATGGACCTGAGGTGACTGTCCTGGTTCAGACTCATGTTCTGGGTCCCCTTGGCCTTCTTTGGACTCTGTCTTTTTTTCGTCCCGTCTCTGCTCTTGGAGCTTCTGTCGGCGTATTTTGTCATCATTGTGGACTTTGACAGGCTCTGCTAGCCTACGCTCTAAGGTGAGGATAGGGAGAGGTGGCTGCTGGAGTTGATTTGAGGGATTTTTGAGGTGTTCTTCAACAGCAGAGGGGATGCCGATTTCACACAGGCGGGTCCACTTGCTTACCTGAGAGGAAGGACAGATAAATATTAGACAATAGACATTGATTGAAACCAAGTTATGTTATCCTTCCAGATATATACATTTTCAGCAATTCCTTTTCATGAAATTTGGAAACCGGTTGACATACTGACACAATATAATTGTGAAACAAGGTACACTTACAGAATCAGTAAAAAAAAAAAAAAAGTCCTCCTTTTAAATCAATATTAAACAATCTGGATTCAGAGCAGCAATGCAGTCAGGACATCGGCTCCAGTTTAAAGTCAAAGCTCCTATGATTTTGCTATATGCCACAAGATGAAATGCATAGGTCTGACGTTGCACTTTTTCTCACTAATACAGAAAATGATAAGGTAGTGACTGTAAATTTATTTTTTATTTCATTTTGTTATTATTTATTATTATTTATTATTATTTTTCAGTCTATGCTGTAAAGTGCCCCTTGTCATCTTTGCTGGTGAAATCACTCAGGCACGTCATTTCCATTGTTTACTCGCAACGAACCTCAGCACATGCTTTCAAACAGGTCTTCTTGAACCCCAGCAGTGCCAAAACATCATTTCTCGAAGGGTCAGCCTCCAGGGTCTTGTTGATGATGTGTCTCAGGACCACCGCCAGTCCTGCCCTGCACAGACTCCCAGTCTCATCCAACACAGCAGGGAGACGGCAGCCCCTCACCAGCCGGGGTAGATCCTCCACCTGAATGTCAGACACATCCAAAGTCTCTGGTAACTGGCTCTTCAGTGACACAGAGCTGACAGATTTGGCGCAGACCAGAAACACTTTGAAAAAAGACTTGCACTCGCAGTAGGAGAGCAGAAACAAGGCTATGGAGGTGTGCAGCGGGAGACGTGGCTCCTCATGTTGGCAGCAAACTTCCAGATAGAGGGCAGGATGCTGCTGCTTTGCCTCTGTGTGCTTCATTGCAGAAACAAAAAACAGTACTGTGGAGTAAAAGCAGATAGAGGGTTATATCTAAGTAGCATTTTAAATATGTCCATGTGTATGTCAAAGCATGGTAACAACACGTGCGAGCTCAAAGGCCATTTCGGGTGCGCAGCATAAAATGTCATTTACATAATACTTACAACAGCTTTGATAACACGTATGTGTACACCGGCAAATGCGATGAAACCACGTTGTTATTGTACCCGCTTCCTGGGACAGTGGTGCTTCTTCGAGTCTTGTGCCACAGCTAGTCTAGCTCTTCAGCGCCATCTGACGGCCCTGGAAACATACCGCTCTATTGTTTTGTTTTTGTTTTGTTTTGTTTTTAAATAAACGCTACATTAATTTTAAACGTTTGACTCTTAAACTTAGAATATTGAGTATTAAATACAGAGAGTAAAGTTGTACATTATATATATTTTTTTTTAATGAAACATTACAAGGTTCCGTGCGTTTAGATGACGGACATATTAAGCGGTTACACACGTCAAAAGAAAAAGCGTCCGGCTCGGCTGTTTGGGTGATTGTGTAGGAACTGTGGCTCCACCGTTAATTCTTCACGAAACGCCATTATCCGTGTGACAGGGAGGCTTTTACCAGGAGCAGGACTTAAGGTAACGTAGTACAACTAAATAATGTAATTTGCGAACTTGTTTATGATAAATAACAGCTGATGCGAAATGTAACTTTAGCTGCTCTGCCGCTATCACAGCGCTCTTGTTTCTGTTTCTGGTAACACCGTCACATAGTAACCCTGAATGTATCATTCATTTCTTCATATTAAAAGGGACAAATAAAGTCAGTTTGGTGGGGGTTATTTTGGAGTCAGCCGGAGGTGAAGGCTAGTTTCAGCCCTTCCTTGTACATTTACTACAACTCCCACAAAAAGAATAACAAAAGTGCATCTTTAGTGCAGCTCGTCGGGATAAATGAAGTATCGAAGTGAACAACATCTGTCTTCAGAGGAATAGCTTTTTTTTAACTCTATTCTAGCCTCCTCTTCCCAACTTCATTTGGCATTAACCTCAGACGATTTCATGTATTTATTATTCATATTTGTTGGCATAATTGCAAATGTTTCAAGTGTTAAAACAGCGATTGTAAGATAACACATTGTTCAGGACTAGACTGCACTGAAGAAAAACAGAAAGATGTTTGCCAATTATTAGTTAGATCTTTTAAAATATTGTCCAATCTATTATTGCTGAGTGAGACAGATGACCTGAAGACTATCTAATGACAAAAAAAAAGAAGGGCTGCAAAACAAGCACTGAGTTGTCTTTATTGCAGCTAAAGCTTTTGTTTTGTCTCTTTTTTTTATATTGGCAAAATAGTTTATTTGTGCGACCTTACGTAACTGTATCAGTTGTATTGATGAAGTCTAAAGTCTGTCATTATTTTATGGTTCCCAGTTGAATCCATGGCTGGGCCTGTCAGTCTGGAGTTGGATCCCATCTTCCTGAAGGGACTAAGTTACCTGCACTCCAAAAGTAAAGACTCAGCCGAGAAACTCAAAGCTTTACTTGACGATTCCCTTTCAAGAGGAAGCGACTCGTCTTACCGTTTATTACAGAAAGTAAGAAAATCCTCACGTTTATGTCTTTGTGTGTCGCCAATGTTCATTTGTAATTTTCAACTAAATGCTAAGTGTTCTGTGTCATCGCTGTGTGTGTTCTTAGGATATAGAGGTGTCCAAGGGGTCTGTGTCAAAACTGAGTTTAAGCAAACAGGACTCCAAGTCCTCCTCAAGCTCCTCGTCTTCCAGCAGCAGCAGCGGGAGTAGCAAATCCAGCTCAGAAAAGAGCAAGAAAGAGGTTGAGAAGAGACCCGCTGAGAAGGTATGAGATGCCGTTTTTTTTTTTTATCCTTTTGTTGTGATAAGAAGGACGTAACACTCAACTCTTTTGACGTTGTCTTTCATGCAAAGAGGAGCCAATAAGATACTGACATCCATGATCCTACTAGGAAAACAAACCCTCCAAAATACATTCTTTGTTTCCCAATTTGACTGTTTTTAAGCCTGTTTGCTGCGTGAACATTTATCAAGTATGAGATTGAAACTGTGAAAGCTATCAAGTCATAGTGAGTCATGATCAAAATGATATGTAGCTCTTATTTTATAATGAAAATCAAGATGGCTGGAAGGACAACTCTTTTTTTCCTCCAAATGTTTTGGTTTTGAAGCGTCTTTCCACCTTCAGCATTATAGTTTAGTAAAAGAAAAAGAAAACAGATCCAAACTGTTTGAGTGCTGATTGCATGATGAAGGGTCCAATATTCCAGATATAAGAAATATAAAAACATGCATACATTGGCTATAGCTTAACTATGCTGTTACTCGTGGTGTGTCTTACCCACAACAGGTCAGGGTTGATTTGGGCGATGTGGACCCTCCGAAAAAGCCTCGTTTGGAGAAACAGGAGAATCGTGCGTCGCCAATAACCGTTCAGACGAGCAAGGACCTTCTGCCAAACATAAATGATGACGAGACCAACGCTGATGACTTTGCCATGGAAATGGGACTGGCTTGTGTGGTTTGCAGGTAAATCTTTATGATAAGCAAATTAGCCAAATGAGCTTCAGAGTGTTCGTGGGCTTTAAGTTTAACTATCACTATTTTTTATTCTGCTTCATATTTGAGAATAGAAAGATAAACATGAATGTTAAACTAACTTGCATTACCATTCACATTTTCACTTTGCTGTGTTTTTTTTTTTTTTTTTTAACATCGTAAGGCAAATGACGGTGACCATGGGGAACCAACTGGTTGAGTGCCAGGAGTGCCATAATCTGTATCACCAGGACTGTCACAAGCCCCAGGTGACAGACAAAGAAGTGAACGATCCTCGGCTGGTGTGGTATTGTGCCCGCTGCACCAGGCAAATGAAACGCATGGTGAGGGAAATATTTTTCAGCCAATCATCACTTTTCCATTACTAATCAGTCTGTTTGATGGTTATTGTTTTTATAGAAGTATTTTCTCAGCCTAAAACATATTTTATCTTGGTGTCCCCCAGGCCCAGAAACCTCCACAGAAGCCGTCCCCTGCCTCTGCATCATCGGCACCGGTGGTAAAAGACACCATGGTTAAGAAGACAGAGATTAAAACCAAGCCTGACACAACCAACACCTTCCAGGCCTTCAAAAGAGCTGAAGTAAAGGTATGTGTCCACTAAACACTGTAGATTGTAGATGCACCAAAAACTCAGGGTTACAGGACTACAGGAGTTTTAAAATCCTACCTCATTTTGAAATCGGGTAGCATCACGTGCATAAGGAGAAATTTAACGGATATGCTTCGCTCTCAAGCATGCACACGCTAAAAGATATGAAAATAATCTACAGGATTTTATTAAGATTATCATGCCTGGCAGAGGAACGCACCACCTCATGACCTCGTGACCTTGTGTAAACAATGGAGCTGGTGTTTAAATGTGCGACTTTAATGCTTTGAGCAGAGAGGCTTGGGTCCTGCCGCCGGGCACCACTACTGTCCACTGACTACTGTCCACACTGACTACTGTCCACACTGACTACTGTCCCACTGACTACTGTCCACTGACTACTGTCCACACTGACTACTGTCCACTGACTACTGTCCACACTGACTACTGTCCACTGACTACTGTCCACTGACTACTGTCCACTGACTACTGTCCACTGACTACTGTCCACACTGACTACTGTCCACTGACTACTGTCCACACTGACTACTGTCCACTGACTACTGTCCACACTGACTACTGTCCACACTGACTACTGTCCACTGACTACTGTCCACACTGACTACTGTCCACTGACTACTGTCCACTGACTACTGTCCACTGACTACTGTCCACACTGACTACTGTCCACACTGACTACTGTCCACTGACTACTGTCCACTGACTACTGTCCACACTGACTACTGTCCACACTGACTACTGTCCACACTGACTACTGTCCACTGACTACTGTCCACTGACTACTGTCCACACTGACTACTGTCCACTGACTACTGTCCACACTGACTACTGTCCACTGACTACTGTCCACACTGACTACTGTCCACACTGACTACTGTCCACTGACTACTGTCCACACTGACTACTGTCCACTGACTACTGTCCACTGACTACTGTCCACTGACTACTGTCCCACTGACTACTGTCCACACTGACTACTGTCCACTGACTACTGTCCACACTGACTACTGTCCACACTGACTACTGTCCACACTGACTACTGTCCACACTGACTACTGTCCACACTGACTACTGTCCACTGACTACTGTCCACACTGACTACTGTCCACACTGACTACTGTCCACTGACTACTGTCCACTGACTACTGTCCACACTGACTACTGTCCACACTGACTACTGTCCACACTGACTACCGTCTGGCCTTGTCTCTCGTGGTTATTGTGGTCATGCACTACACCTGCCAGACGCTTTTATAAAATTATCATCAAGATTTAAAATCCTAAATATTAAACATGTTTGAAATAAATCGGGGTGGCCTTTATGCTCTCTGAGCAGATTGAGGAGGTTAATATTGGATCTTTATACCGCTCGCACTACAAAATAATCTTGGTAGATAATCGGTAGCGAGCAGCCTCTAGTTGGGAACTCCCCTGCAATTGTCGGGAAGGCGGAATCGGACCTCAAATCAGCCTAATTACCCTGTGGTCCGAGTCGGGCCTAAGTTTCTCTATCTAAAAGATATTTCTTGTAGCGAGTGAGAGACAAGCAATAGCTGCCAATGCACACAACAGCTGCGTAGGCAAATGTCCAGTTCAGTAACATTTCTCCAGGGGGATGGATTTCAAACTTAAGCATACTTTTTGGAGTTCATCATGAAATGATGCAGACTGCAGTGGTGTGATTATGTTCATTCTGTTCAGAGTGGGTGTGCTTTCTTCTTTTTCAAGTTTCCTTTCTCCGTTTCTGTTTTCATTTAAAGTCTTGTTAAGGTTAGCAAGTTGAGGCTTTTCTAGCCGACAGAAATACCAAAACCAACAATGCTTTTGTCAGTTTCACAATACTTCCTGAACTCTCTATCGTGTCTCAACCAAATTAAAAGTACAGCTCACAAATGTGTTATACATAAACACATCAATCAAAGTTTTTAGGTAATACTTAAAGCAGAAAGGCAAAAATAAGTTCAGCCATTTTTTAGTGTAGTTCAGCACTATTTAATTTGTGTTTACTGTTTATCTTTTCAGGCATCCACAATCTCAGCCAACCCCCCCAGCAGCAGCTCCTCCTCCTCAGGCAGTGCTCTTACTGGCTGGGCTGCATTTGGTGCCAAAACAAATCCGTCTCTTCCTGCCAGCTCCAAACTGGGTTCCTCAGGCCCGAGTGGGAGCCACAAGACCTTGACAGCTCCCTCTGGTCAGAAACCTGTTGGTCTGTCTGGGCTTACAGGAGCCAAGTCGGGACTTGGAAGTGCAAAGATAGCTGGGAGCGGCAACGGAAACGGCTCTGGCCAGGTTCCTCTGAAACCTCCACCCCCCCTGACTCTGGGTAAGCAGCCGCTGAACCGTTCGACAAGTGGAGAAAACCAAGGGAAAGGCTCTTCATCATCAGGTGGTGGCTCCCCTAGCGGCTCCCAGGTAGGGACAGGAGGGAACGGAGGCAATAACGGGAATGGGAACGGGAACAATGGGAACGGGTCAAAGGCCGCCCCGGGGGACAAAGCGCAACATCCCAGGAGTCCCAGCTTAACGCCATGAAACGGTTACAACTGGTGAAGAAGAAAGCAGCACAGAAGAAACTGAAGAAATGAGCAGAAGTTGAACAAAGCGAGAGAAGATGTGAGGAATTTGAAAATAAACCGTTTATGGAATTAGTGCCAGTGAATTTGTTTGTATCAGGAGAGCGCCTGTAACTGTCGTAACACCGTTCAGTCAAATACTTGAATCTTTCTTTGTGTAAATGCTGCTGGACTGTGTGCCTCGTTCTGTCAGATCTAACCATTGAAACAATGACTGTCACCTTCAAGCAAACACAATTAAATCTCCTCTTCTTACAAACTGACAGTAGCACTGACTAAGTAATGAGTGGTGTTATTGTATGGAAAAACCATTATTTCCTGTACATCCTTGATTCGCTTTATTCTCCACATGATTGATAAAATATAAACAATGACGTAGATTTTTTCTTTTCACATTTACAAAAACATATTTAAAGTATTGATCATCTCACTTCGAACATTTACATTTTCTGTAAATGACTTCACATATAACATTTTCTTCATCTGTAAATCACTTCACATATAAAATTAACTTCATTTAGACATCACTTCATGACTCGATATAAACAACACTGAAGTACAAAAAGTGCTCAGCACAGTGCCCTGTGTTCTACAAACATAATTTTCTATTCATCACAGATTATGGGTTGAGTGCTAGTGGTGAGCTGTCCTGGTTCTGTCTGAAGGCTAAACAGAATTTAACACTTATGGTTTAAAGGGATTTTAAAACATGTAGAGATACCTAGTGCAAGTTTGACTTTCAAAAAACAAACAAACAGAAATGTCACGAGTTGCAGTCAGGATTACTTCAATATGAGTCTTAAGATGTTTCAGGTCTGTTTGTTACGTCACAGGTTGGTTTGCTTTTGTGGACATCCTATGACTCAATATTTATGCATAGGACATCCTGCCAAGGTAGTTGGCAGGGACGTATCCCTTCTGTCCGTTAGCCTCAGCTAACCACCAGTCCTTGTTGCCTCCCAGGTCAGAGAACTGGAGGATGCGAACATGCTGGTACTCCTGCAAGGTCAGCTCCTGGTCACAGCGTGCTTGAAATGCGTAAACAGCATAAAACTGAGGAAAGAGACAAATTACACAGATGTAAACTGGTGCAAAAATAATCCTAACGTTTAAAATATTGGATAGCAATAGTAAAGAGTGATTTTTTTTTTTTTTGGTTTGTTTTGTGCAAACAACCCTTCTTTTTTTGGCATCTTACATCCTTCCTTTAAAATCCAGAGGGCATATATTCGCATCATGTACTATGTGATAAATCCAGCAGGTGGCACTGTTTATCAGCTTTCAGATGAGACAAAACGTCACAGCCCAGTCTTATTTTTTAAAAGGTTGAATCTATCAACCCTGTCAGTATTTCATGTTTTGAAATGATGATGGCTTGTAGCAATGTAGATCAGAGGCAGACTGGTTAGTCAAAGCAGATGAAGACATGACATGTCCCTGAGTTTGTTTTTTTGGGGCATTGTTTTCTCATGTTTTTCAACCCTATTTATTTTCAAACAATCCAGAAAGAGCCACTGTTACTCCATCAATGTGGTATATAACTGCATAACTCGGTTTTAAGAAAATACCTCTGATATTTACAGGAGAGGTTTCATGTGAGGAGGCACTTGAAGCCTTTTGGAAGAGCAGTGAAAGCTGCATTTGATGTTTTTACTTTTTTAGTTGTGTCTCTTTATTATTTCCGATGATGCTTGGTTAAGTTTACATTGCAAACGTGTTCACTGCACTTGGTCACATGCACATTTTGGCATGGAGTTCTAAAGCCTTAATCCAAAGTGGGCTTTATTGGTGTGTTTTTCTATCACCTCCCCGAGTCCTTAACCCTGCAGAATATTCACATGTTCAAAATGGTGTAAGAAACACAAACCTGCTGAGTGTCACCATCCACTGATTCCTCCACTTCTTCTGGACTCTCTTGCTCCCCCTGTAGCACTGAGAGGGTTGAGCTGCTGTCGGTGGTGTTGAGGTTGAAGCTGCGCAGGCTGCTGCTGCCACTGCCAGACACGAACAGGCTGATATCGTCAAAGTCCTCGTCCACCATGACAGGCTGCTGCTGCTGCTGCTGCTGCTGCTGCTGCTGCTGCGGCTGCTGGGGCTGCTGCTCTCTGACCATCTGGCCCGCCCGCATGGAGTCCCTCAGAGGGTTGTACTGCTTCAGGAACGTGGAGTACACGTAGCCCTGTGTACCTAAACGTGACACAGGAGGACAGTTTGTGAATATGTCAGAACAGCTGAGTCCATTTTTTAAAGGATGGGTTCTGCCAAATTCAAATGTTTTTTTAATTCCACTTATTTTTAGTAGTTATCAAGCGATGCCGATAGTTTCATTATGTTTTCAGATCATCTTATTTTACTGTCTTTATCACAATACATAAGGTGTAAATGTAGTCTGGTTTGTGATGCTCCAAACACTTAATACAGTAAGAAATCAACACAGATACTCTTCTCAGTTAAAATGTCCGAGTATGTCTTGATACTCCACAAAAAATATTGTCCACCCAGGGGTGATTCTAGATTCTAGGAAAAAAATAATCAGGGGACCCTCCAGCCACCACTATATCTACCAGTTTCCCAACGCTCTTCCTCTTTCTTTTTTCACTTGCGGACAGATCATTCCTCTTCATTTTCCTTCAGTGATTTTCACTGACGAACTTTGGTTTTCACCGGAATAATACATGAGATGCTAAGCAGGGTCATGAGAGTCAGTGCTGTCAGATGGGGCCCCTTTAGGGAGGTTTTCTCCTGTCATTCCATCATTTGCACATTTTGAGCTACTGCTACAGTTTAAAGTTTGTCAGCCCTCCGGGGCCCCCTAGTGGTCTTGGGCTCCAAACGGTTGTCTGCCTTGCCTGTTGACAAGCAGCACCTTTGTGTCCACCTTTTATATGTATCAACTATTTTTCATGAAGAAGTTCCAGGACATAAATCATTGAAAAAAGCATATGTCCGTTATTTAAAGACTTGAATCAAAACTCCATTCATATATCTTTGGATGAGACACACGTCAGTAGAAGACAACAAAACATTTGGAGATTTTTTTTTTTTTCCTTTGAGTGAGCTGGCCCTTTAAATGTCTCGCAGTGAGGTCATTTCAGAACAAGTGTCCTTGATAAAACATTTTCATTAGTCACTCAAAAAGCAGCTTCATAAAGTTAAATAGCCATCATCTCTGGACTATGCTGTATATGTGTGTTTTAAAAGGGACTGCACGTCTTGTATTATATGACTTGAACCATGAGTCGGAGCAAACTTAAAGCCATACAAGTAACTGAGAGATGTGTGAATATGAGCCAGTGTTGATATCAACTGCAGAACGAACAACAGCTTCCTGGGAATGCATGTAATCCCAGAGGAAAAGACAAGTCTGTGAAGATTGTACTGCGTACACACCAAAAAACATACACACTTCCTTTTTTTTTTTCTTTCTAGAGCTCATAAAAAAAGAACTTGTTATTGCAGAGTACAGAGAGGCGTGCAAGCAAGCAGCGTCTCGACGTCCTTGTTTCTGAGGCGAATACCCATAGGGAGAAGCTTTGTACTCTAAGTAACACTGCTTACAGCGTGCAGCGGTTTGTTCCAAACAAGACGTCAGGATCTCCGGTGCCTCTGCAAAACGTGGAGGGGAGATGGAGACTAGGCTATATTGGCCCTGTTGTCAGGCAACCATCTCCAGAGGCAGGCAGAAAAAAATCCAGCAACCATGACATCACAGGAGCTCCTGGGACTGATTCTTGTGTGTTGACTTGACGGTGAAGGAAAGTTAAGTTTGGTGCGTCTATACAGCCTCAGTCTTCTAATAAATGCAGGTGTCATTTCTGAGGAATGTGCAATAAAGGAGAGCTATACCTGCAGATGAGCTAATGTGATAACTTAATTCAGCTTGTGTGTCTTAACTGAAAGCACTCTGACACACACACACACACACACACACACACACACACACACACACTTGCCTCCAGTGTGAACCAGCCAGCGGCTGCTGCTGCCCAGTGGGTCTGTGTCCTCCAGCAGGGCTACCAGCTCCCCCTCCAGCAGACTGAGGTCCTGGTCCTGGCAGCCATTACACTTCCTCTTCAGCTGATACAGACGGCTAAGTGGGTGTTCTGCCAGCAGCCGGGCGCGCTCCTCCTCGGTTTGATGTTGTACCTCTGGCATCTGGAGGACGGCAAAGGGAAAAAAAGAGCGTTGGTGTAAGTGTGTGAAGTGGGCCTGGTGTGTGGGAACATTTTGACGGCCATTGTACAAGGATTTTCAAGGGGGGTGTGAGATCAAGATGATCTACTTATCGTCCAAGTGCAAGCACACTCTTAGGCATGTATGCGTGCATAAGTGTACACTAACAACCACATAGATATACAGTGGCATTCTCAGAAGACAGTTACCTGGTGCAGCTTTGTGTTAATCTCAGTGTCAGAGTCTGCCTCTGTGTCTGCCTTTGATGGCTCGGTGGCTTTGAATTAGTTCAAACGTTTTTGAAATACTAAAAGGAAAAGATGAGACTTCTGTTTTGACCTAGAGTCAGAGAGCAGTTTACACAATCGACCTGGGATTGGAATAGAATAGATTTTAGTGTATAATTTTCACTTTAGTCAATTTATTTAGTTTTCTAGAGAGCAGGCATACTGCTGTTTGCAGCTGTTAGCTTGCTCTCCATTTCTTTTTCATGTTTTATACCAAAATACCCATAAAATCTTTGTACGTGTAAACCTCATTACAATAAGATATGATATGATACAATACATTACCAAACACTTTATTGTCCCATTAGGGAAATTTGTCTTGGACTCCAGAACTGCACACACTAAGCTGCCTCTACAGCCAAATATGTGACACTGATTCTAATAGACATGTCCTCTATATTCTAGATTATTTTGAAATTCCTACCGTTGTTTTCTTGTCTCGTTGTCTCTCAAAGCTGACTTTACGCTCCATTAGTTTCTGAGCGTTATCCTTCACAAAAGCAAGATTGTTGAGCTCCTCCATGATGCTGTTCTGTACTTCAGCAATGTTAGACAAAGGAGCCTGGAAAGATAAAAATAGAACTTTGTAGTTTCAATATCAAAAAGACTAAGAATAGCTCGTGTTTATTAATGTGATGGGAGTCTCACTGGTAACTGCTGCACAGACGGGGCACCCAGTAGAATTTTTTCCATGAGCCCTCTGAGCAAGGCCACTAAATACACCACACAGTTGGTGAGGATAGCATAGGCGGCCATGTTGAACCGCTGCAACTCCTCCAACAGGAGGGCATTAAGAGCTTCGTAGTCC